CCTGAGAAAAGCCCGCCAAGCCTGCTCTGTTCTGCCCAGCAACAACAAGCAGCCAATCATCGCAGCAGGAAAGCCCGCCAAGCCTGCTCTGTTCTGCCCAGCAACAACAAGCAGCCAATCATCGCAGCAGGAAAGCCCGCCAAGCCTCGGCCTATCCTGAACCGACAGGTAACCCTCTGAGCCACCTCAGCAGTCTGCCCAGAGACGGACAGCCTATCCTAAGCTCCTACGACACTCCGCCAGCCCTGTGTCCACGCCCCGTCCACCCCCCCTATAAAACCCTCCTACCCCAGCTGCGCAGGCCAGCCAGCCCCGATCTCCTTCCTTCCTGGCCTGCCCGCTGGTCCCAATAAACCTGAACTCGGCTTCCAACTCTCGAGCTGTTATTTGGGGTCGGGTACCGGGCAGGGGTCTACGAGGGGGTCGCACACTCAAGATGCTTTATTTACATAACAAAGCCACCTTTTTGGAAACCAGGCAAAACTGAAAGAGCAATGCCTGTCACCCCATGCTGCGGTTCCACAGTTAAGGATTTTACCTTTTTTTTTCTCACCATGACAGCCTGGGTTTGGTTCCTAAGTCAAGCTCTTTCTGGTTTGATGCTTGGTACTTCTGAAGTAGCAGCAATCATTCTAGCTGAAATATGGTAATGAGATTTAAAAAGATTTTTTTAAAAGAGCTCAGTGGTTAAAGGTCAGCTTAATTAAAAGCTAACATCCAAGATGTGTGTGTGTGTGTTCGTATTTAAAAGGCCTTCATGCTTTTGTTTAGCACCTTTTTTTTGAGCAAAAGGTTTTTTTCTTCTCAGTTGACTGAATTCTGTTTTCTTCATTTACTTCTGCTGTCTCTCATTTCTCTTGCACCCTCTACTGCATGAGGGACCTAAATAGTTTATAATAGCCTGGGGCTTCTTAAAGAAAAAGAAGGTACCAGACTTTCTTTTGGGGAGAAAACTCTGTTTTTCCTTATGGAACCCCAAAATATAAACAGAAAAATTTGTCTCAGCTCTTAAACTGCTTATTTTTATATTGTGTTACCTGTTTTTTTGACTAAAATAGTTATTGCAACAGAGGCTACTCTTGGGTTTTAAAAGAAGAGTGTAGTTTAGACACTTAGAAATGTCTTTGCTTAACGTTTTTTTTAAGTGTAATAAAAGCATCATAGGGTCTAGCCTCATAATAATTCTCCCTTTTTGGAGACTCAGGATTCAGTGTGGGCTCTGCCCAGAGCTCAAAGATCCAGTTAAAAGATAAGTAGTCCCTATCTAAATAAAATTTGTCTCTTCATACAAACCTGTGATAGATTTCTATAATTTTATATTTGATTTGGTGTCCATCTTTAATTTCTGTTAAGTACCAACAGACTTTTTTCTCTCTCTCTGTACATTAACATGTAAATTTTTCTATCTGATTTTTCATCTAAGAGTTGTTTTATTCAATATATAGATTTAGGACTATTAACCTGACAACTGCCAGGGTAATGAAACAGGTTATTGAGAGTTTGCAAATCTAAGGCAGGAAAAAAAAAGTAGGTCTTATGAATCTATAAGGTGCACTTCTGTTGGTATACCTAATACAGCTATGTATTTATGTGTTGTGTACATAATGTTTCATTACTAAAAATACATAAAGAGGTCTAATTAATTGGCTTAAAGAAAAATAAAAGTGCTCAAATCAAATACTTTATCAGAAAAGAGGAAAGACCAATCAAACGCTTTTTCAAGTTTACATGTCTTGAAGTAAAATCTTTAATAAATAAGCTAGCTTTAAATTATTGGTAAAGTAATATTAGAAATGTCTTAAGAGGCCAGGTGCGGCGGCTCATGCCTATAATCCCAGCACTTTGGAAGGCCGAGGTGGGTGGATCACGAGGTCAAGAGATCGAGACCATCCTGGTCTACAAGGTGAAACCTGTCTCTACTAAAAATACAAAAATTAGCTGGGCATGGTGGCGTGTGCCTGTAATCCCAGCAACTCAGGAGGCTGAGGAAGGAGAATTGCTTGAATCCAGGATGCGGAGGTTGCGGTGAGCCGAGATCGCGCCATTGCACTCCATCCTGGGTAACGAGCGAAACTCCGTCTCAAAAACAAAAACAAACAAACAAACAAAAAGAAATGTCTTAAGAATTGCCAGTATCCATTTTTGTTTGCATCAAGCAGTTTTTTTGATCAAGCAATTTCATATGTATCCTGCCAGATCCTATCAGGTGTCAAAATCTAGCATAGTAGTTACAAAACTATAAACCCAGCTCAAAATAGAATGATCTTGGCTTGTGTAATTTTTAATAAACAAGACATTGATATTGGTTTAATGAAAATAGCTAATCTTGAATTATTTAGTATAATTACTATACTGCTAGTCTTGTGCCTTTAGGTAGTCTAGTCCACAGGCAATAAGGAGGTTTCTTTTGGGAAAGGACTGTTACTGTCTTTGTTTCAAAGCTAAACTATAAACTAACTTCCTCCCAAAGTTAGTTTGGCCTATGCCCAGGAATGAACAAGGGCAGCTTAGGGGGTTAGAAACAAGATGGAGTCAGTTAGGTCATATTTTTTTCACTGTCTCAGTTGTAATTTTGCAGTGGTGAGTTTCATAACTTTGATGACTATTGCAGTTTTCATAAGTAATCTAGGTAGATAATTAAAGTAATTAGGTAAATGTAATGGGATAAATGTGGACAAACTTGTCATAATTTAGAATCTAAAGTTATATTAAATTAAATAATAGATATTTCATTATATGGGTATTTTTCAATAAAAATACATTGTAGGAAAACATTCTTTCTAAAAAAAGTCATTTTTAAAAAGGTAAAAGAATTTTGTCTGATTGGAAGCCTATTTAAACATTATGTATAAAATAATGTAAAACGAACCGGGAAATAAGAGAGACATAAAGAAATCTATAGAAATAAACAGGTAATTTTTGGTAAGAAAGCTTAAAGAGAAATAATTTTATATGAGAAAGAATTTTGTATTGTAAATTTAGTCCTAGAAGAAGATGACTGGTTGTTTAAGAGAGGGGGATGTTCAGGACAAACCAGAAAGTCCAAGTATATTATGAATGGTCTGTGTAAGTCACAAAAAAGGATTAATTAAAACAAAACCAAATACTTTTATATAATCAAGTTGTCTATAATTAAAGAGAAACTGTAGTAGTCTTTCTAGACATTGGGTTTGATGTTAAAAAAATTATACCTTGCAAACTGAAGCTAGACAACTTAAACTTCAGAAGAAAATAACTTAAGCTTTAGAAGAAAATAACAACAACCTATCTATATACATAAGCCACTTTCATACCTGCCTACTGATATATGGATTTCAGAGTAATGTGGCCTATATCCATTTTCCAGGATTGTTCTTTTGTTTGTTGTTGTTTTTCTCCCTTCCTCCCTCTATTTTCTCTTCATAGGACATGACACTTTATAACCTGCCAGAAATGAGCTTTCCTAATAACTTGGGACCTACTTGTCTAAGAAGAAATCATCCTAGCCATGATAGATAGGATGAAACCTGAAAGCAGGACTCATTTTCTTTTAAAATGCTTTCTTCAAAAGATTTTATTTTATGTACGTATGTATTTATTTATTTGAGACAGAATTTCACTCTTGTTGCCCAGGCTGGAGTGCAATGGTGTGATCTTGGCTCACTGCAACCTCTGCCTTTAGAGTTCAAGTGATTCGCCTGCCTCAGCCTCCCAAGTAGCTGGGATTACAGGTATGTGCCACCATGCCCAGCTAATTTTGTATTTTTAGTAGAGATGGGGTTTCACCATGTTGGTCGGGCTGGTCTCGAACTCCTCACCTCAGGTGATCCACCCACCTCAGTCTCCCAAAGTGCTGGGATTATGGAAATGAGCCACCATGCCTGGCCACTCTAAAAGATTTTTTTAAAAAAGGGGGGGAATGTGAAAGGAAAAAATAAATCTTGGGGCCCCCAAATCACTAAGCTAAAGGGAAAAAAGCCAAGCTGGGAACTGCTTAGGGCAAACCTGCCTCCCATTCTATTCAGTCTTCCCTCTGTTCACTGAGATAAATGCATATCTGATTGCCTTCCTTGGAAAGGTTAATCAGAAACTCAAAAGAATGCAACTGTTTGTCTCTCACCTACCTGTGACCTGGAAGCCCCCTCCCTACTTGAGTTGTCCCACCTTTTTGGATGGAATCAATGTACATCTTATATATGTTGATAAATAGTTCATGTCTCCCTAAAATGTATAAAAACCAAGCTGTGTCCTGATAACCTTGGACACCTGTCGTCAGGACCACCTGAGACTGTGTCACAGGCATGCATCCTCAATCTTGGCAAAATAAACTTTCTAAATTAACTGAAGGCCAGGTGCAGTGGCTCAGGCTTATAATCCCAGCACTTTGGGAGGCTGAGGTGGGTGTATCAGTTGAGGTCAGCAGCTCAAAAACAGCCTGGCCAACATGGTAAAACCCTGTCTCTACTTAAAAATACAAAAATTAGCTGGGTATGGTGGCAGGCATCTGTAATTCCAGCTTTTTGGAAGGCTGAGATAGGAGAATCGCTCGCACCTGGGAGGTGGAGGTTGCAGTGATCTGAGATTGCGCCATTGCACTCTAGATTGGGTGACAGAGCAAGACTTGGTCTCAAAAAAATAAAAATAAATTAATGGAGACCAGAGACCTGTCTCAGATATTTGAAGTTCACAGGTATATACTTGAACAGGTAATCAAAAACTGTATATATCACTTAATATAGAGACGTTGGACCTAGCTACTGTATGATTTTCATGTTGGGCTAATATACAAAACAAAGCATTTGGAGTTGGGGAGCTGAGGAGCAGAAACAGCAAGAAACACCTTAGTCATTGTCATAGTTGTCCTCTAGTGTACTATGTGTACTCACCGTGGGTTTTGTGGCCTTGTCCTACGTATCATTAATTCTTACACTCCAAATTAGAAATACTTTGACTAGCCATAAAGACACAAATCATTTCCTATTTGCAGAAATTTCATTTTGCAGGAATGGAAGACAAGTGAGTCATTTTTTTCTTGCAAGAAAACAGGTTATTTATTAAAGAGATGATTACAAAAATGCCAAAAATCCCTGAATTTTTGCCTTTCTTGTGTGTGTTAATTCAAGGTAGTTAGTACAATTCCAAAGGACAGTTGACATTTTAAGAACACTAACTCTACTTGGTTCCTTAATCATAAGGATGTCTTTTGCTCAGTATTTCATAGAGGAGTGTTACAGAGTGTTTTTGGCTTTCATTCTGGAACATTGCTTGGCTTCTGGTAAGCTAGGTTCACTTTGCTGCCTGAAGGTCCTTCTGTGGAGAGAGAAAATACAATAAATGATGCGCTGAAATACATCAGCTGACTGCAGGTACAGTCTGAGCCAACCAGGACACTATCCCTCTGATCCCAGTGCCTGCTTCAGGGGTTGGGGTATGGACCAAGTCAGGCCAATGGGAGTCCCAGAGACTATTTCTGGATGATTGTTGTTTGAACTGTTAGGGAAGGAAATGGAAGGTGAAGCTCCTGGGAGGTGGGGCTTCCATGCAGAGGCAAAACGGAGCCCATTCAGAAATACTGGAGCTGAGAAATTGATTATGGTGTCATCCTTCAGGCCCTTAGTCGAGCCACTGCTGAAACTAGTAATCACTGGATGTGTAAGACCTATAGGTTTTATTGCTGTTGCTGAGCCCAGTCAGTTTTGGCTGGGCTTCCTGTCCCTGGTAGCTGTACTTCAGTTGGCATTCATGTGATGGACCCAAGGCTGACTTGAAGTTAAGCGATGTGTCCCAATTACATGTAGCCATGGAGTGTGAGAGCTGGGGGTGGGAGGAAATAACATGGAGGGAAATGCTGATTTTACCTTACTCTAGTCACTGATATGGCTACAGATACATGTTGTTTGGGGTTAAGTCAAAACAGGAATGTACAATTTGTGAGATCTGAGCTGAAGTGAAAGAAGTTGATATCTTCATGGTCAGATTTCATATTCATTAAGCAGATTTATCAAGACGGGACCATCTAAGGGTTATGAAGATTCTAAATTTTACTTCTCATCTTCTGGAGACTCATCTTCATCATTTAACTTTTTTTTTTTTTTGAGATGGAGTCTCACACTGTTATTCTGGCTGGAGTGCAACAGCACGATCTTGGCTCACTGCAACCTCTGTTTCCTGGGTTCACGTGATTCTCCTGCCTCAGCCTCCCAAGTAGCTGGGATTACAGGCACACACCACTACACCTGGCTAATTTTTTGTATTTTTAGTAGAGATTGGATTTCACTATGTTCGCCAGACTGGTCTCGAACTCCTGACCTCATGAGCTGCCCGCCTTGGCCTCCCAAACTGCTGGGATTACAAGGGTGAGCCACTGTGCCTGGCCCATTTAACCTCTTACTTGTGACAAAGTTGAATAAAGGAAGCAAGGTTTCCTTCAAGATTGTCACTGGGTTGAGGGTCAGATAGAGGGGAAGAAAGGGAAATTTGACTCATGGCAGCAGAGAGTGAGAGGCTCTAGGAAGGCAGCAGCTGACAGTGAGGATGAGTCAGGTATGCACAATGGTGAAATTTCCAAAGAAATGATCGAGATATATTCAGTAAGTGTGAGAGTCCTTGTGTGGACCACAGGACCGATTATTTGATTATACATGGTCAAGAGTGACTTCCTGTTAGGTTAGGACTTGTGTGGTGCCTGAAATTACAGTAAGCAGTATTTCTGACCAGGGGAGAGTGGGGAGGATGGATGGAGCAGAGAGGGCTGCCAGGAACAGATCGTGATGCCCGGCCTCTCTGGTCCTGTTCATTTCTCTGAAGATGCAAGCACACGGTGGGTGTTAATGCAAAAAGAAAATATTTGTATTTCTCCCTCTTACCGACTTAAGCACTTCAAAATTGACATTGTCTAGAAGGTTTGAGATTACTGGTGGTGGTATATTCCATTGTTTAACATATTCTGAAATAAAGAAGGAACATGTTATGAGTCAAAAGGACGATAACCAGGAAATCTCTTTCCTGCCCATTCAACAGAGTGATCTGAGTAAGGGCCTGGATACTCCCCAGGCTGTTGGAGGGTGTGGGAGGTTAGAGCAGGGTAGCCAGGAAGAGAAGACTCCAGAACCAGATTGAAACCTGGTGAGTATCCAAAGCTGAGGTGAAACCTGGCATTCTTTTTTCTTAGAGGCAAGGTCTCGCTCTGTCACCCAGGCTTCATCATAGCTCACTGCAACCTCAGACTACTGGGCTCGTGTTCCTCCTGCTCTCACATAGCCTCAGCCTCACAAGCAGCTGGGAACATAGGCTCACGACACCATGCCTGGCTAATTTAAAGATTTTTATGTTTTTGTAGAGACTGGGTCTCCCTGTGTTTCCCAGGCTGGTCTTGAACTCCTGGCCTCAAGTGATTTTCCTGCCTTGGCTTCCCAAATTGCTGGGATTATAGGAGTGAGCTGCTGTGCTCAGCTGTACTCTTTCTTTTCTTTCTTCTTTTTTATAAAGACTGAGTCTCGATATGTTTCCCAGGCTGGCCTAGAACTCCTGTGCTCAAGCGATCCTCCTGCTTTAGCCTCCCAAATAGCTGGGACTACAGGACCATGCTACCATGCCTGGCTAATTAAAAAAATTTTTTTTGTAGAGATGAGGTCTTGCTATATTGCCCAGGTTGATCTTGAACTCCTGGGCTCAAGTGATCCTCCTGCCTCAGCCTCACAAAGTGTTGGAATTACACACCTGAGCTACCACTGTGCCCAGCCAGGGATCCAAATACTCATACCAGGTGATATGCTAGCATGTCTGTCCTTACTACCTTAAGAAACCACACGAGTGAGGCCCTGCTGTTTTAGTGTTATTCGGGCTATTTTGAACCTCTTTAGTTAGAGTTAACCAGAAATATGTGCAGATGGCATGTTGCACCATCATATTTGGTGGTCCTAAGAGTTAACACTTCAGCCTCTTGATTTCCCAAGTCCCTAATGACTACGAGACTAGGTGCCTGGATCCATGTTTCCTCTAAGCATGATGATAGTGTTGGTCCTGAAGACACCTAGTGGGCAGAGATTTCTTTAGGAGCTGTAGGAGAGGCATTTTGATTTGACTTTCATTTTTTGCCATCTCAGGGTGCTGAAGCCCCTATCTGCCCACAAAAGTGTCCTGTGGCCTAGCTTGTGACCAGATGACCTTGTGCTTAGCACACTCTGCAGTGTGGCTCACACCCTGGTGCCTGTCCTCTGCCACTGACTCTTCTAGGTGTTCAGGTTATTAATGCAACATACCAGTAAGGCCAGACGAGAACTTCTTCAGAACCTCAGCCATCTCCCCTTGTACCTGGTCAATCTGCAAGAGACAGGAGGAGCATTTGCATCAGCATTATCTGGTAGTCCACTGCTAGTTGTCACAGTCAGGGAAAGCAGTCTTAGGTCCTCTGTATGTGCAGATTTTTTTTTTTTTTTTTGAGACAGTCTGGCTCTGTCACCAGTGGAGTGTGGTGGCACCATCTTGGCTCACTATAACCTCCGCCTCCCGGGTTCAAACGATTCTCCTGCCTCAGTCTCCTGAGTAGCTGGAATTACAGGCACCTGCCACCACCCCCAGCTAATTTTTTGTGTTTTTAGTAGAGACAGGGTTTCACCATGTTGGCCAAGCTGGTCTCAAACTCTTTTTTTTTTTTTTTTTGAGACGGAGTTTCACTCTTGTTACCCAGGCTGGAGTGCAATGGCGCGATCTTGGCTCACAGCAACCTCCGCCTCCTGGGTTCAGGCAATTCTCCTGCCTCAGCCTCCCGAGTAGCTGGGATTACAGGCATGCGCCACCATGCCCAGCTAATTTTTTGTATTTGTAGTAGAGACGGGGTTTCACCATGTTGACCAGGATGGTCTCGATCTCTTGACCTCAGGTGATCCACCCACCTTGCTGGGATTACAGGCGTGAGCCACCTCCCCCAGCCATACACTTTTATTTTGTGTGATAAACTCCTGCTCCTCTTTGAAGGCTGAGTTCAGGCATCACTTCTTTAGTACATCCACCCTCTGCCTCCCCCGTGGTACCCTCTCTACTGTGTCTTCTTTGTGCCCTGTTGACAGCTGTTTGCATGAAGGTCTTTGTCCCCATCAGGTGGGTAGTTATCTGAGGTTGGGGATCGTGCCTTCTAAGTTGCTTTTGCTGAACACACAGCCTGGTGTGTCATGTAGCCGCCTGGTCAAGTTGAGACAAAGGGTGCCCTGGGCTAGTGATCACCTCTGGAGTTTGCCTCTCAATGAGTCCCCATTATCTCAGGGCTGATATAGAGGCCCCAGCTCATAAACTCTTCAGTTATAAAGTAATGAGGCTGTTCACCTCTGGGCGCTCATTTTGTGCCTCCACGAAATGTGGCTGACAGACTCTTAATACTTTTTGCCTTTTAAAAAACGTGTTTATATGTCCCCATTTGGTCCTCACACTAGAATGTCAGTTCCTAGAGTTAGATGCCTCATTACTACTTCATGTGGCATTTGTAGGGCTGGGCACATAGCATGTGCTCACTAAACATTTGCTGGTTTAAGATTTGAGCTGGCCGGGCTCAGTGGCTGATGCCTGTAATCCCAGCACTCTGGGAGGCCAAGGCGGGAGGATCACCTGAGGTCAGGAGTTCAAGACTAGTCTAGCCAACATAGTGAAACCTTGTCTCTGCTAAAAATACAAAAAATTAGCTGGGCGTGATGGCAGGTGCCTGTAATCCCAGTTACTCAGGAGGCTGAGGTAGGAGAATCGCTTGAACCTCGAGGCAGAGGTTGCAGTGAACTGAGATCACACTACTGCACTCCAGGCTGGCGACACAGCAGGGCTGTTCAAGATGGAATATCTTAAACATGGAGTTGGCGGGGGAAACGCACCAGGTTCCGTCTCTGTAGCTGGAGCCTGGTCACTGGAGCCTTCCCTCGTTCTGCACACTCCTCTCCTCCCATGCTCTCCTGGGGTGATCTGCAGGGTGGTCAACCCATGGAACATGGGTTGAAAATAGCTGACAGGAGAGCTGAGCCAGGGACAGCTGCCTCTGATTCTGAGAAACTCTCGTGAGCCTAGCTAGGTTAGAGTCTAGTTATCAGGGGGTGTCCAATCTTTTGGCTTCCCTAGGCTGCATTGGAAGAGGAAAAATTATCTTGGGCCACACATAAAATACACTAACGATAGTTGATGAGCTAAAAAAAACAAATTGCATAATGTTTTGAGAAAGTTTAGGAATTTGTGTTGAGCCACATTCAAAGCCCTCCTGGGCCACACGTGGCCTGTTGCTGTGTGTTGGACAAGCTTGGTCTAGGTCAGATTTTCTTCCTTGCTGTGAATTGCAAGGCCTGCTGGATGCATCAGGTACACCAGGATGCCACAAAGGGCCAGGATTCCACGCCCTGCTTGCGTCAGCGCCTGAGTGTGGAATGCACACTGGGCATGGGTAGCTGTGTTTGAAGAGCTCCCAAGAGAGCCTAGGTTTGGAGCTGCTGTCCTACCCCACACTGTCTGTGGTCTCGTCTTCCTGACTTTCTCTTTTTTCTTTTTTCTTGAGACAGAATCTTGCTCCTGTTGCCCAGGCTGGAGTGCAGTGACACAAACTTGGCTCACTGCAACCTCTGCCTCATGGGTTGAAGCGATTCTCCTGCCTCAGCCTCCCGAGTAGCTGGGACTACAGGCACGCGCCACCATACCCAGCTAATTTTTGTACTTTTATAGAGATGGGGTTTCACCATATTGGCCAGGCTGGTCTCGAACTCCCACCTCATCCTCTCAAAGTGCTGGGATTACAGGCGTAAGCCACCATTCCTGGCCATCCCTGACCTTTTCTTTCCAGAGTATGTGGGGCACTGAGCACCTGGCACTACAATCTTTTCTCACATCCCATTGATAAATGTATTGAAAACGTAATAAACTTACAGCATTGGGGGGTGTTGTACTGTGTTCAGAGCTGTCAGGAAACAAAGTACAGAGAAATATTAGGTTCAGGTAAAAATGCAACTCCATTGTAGAGCTAAGTAGGTCATCAGTTGCTCCTTAAAATCACTTATAACTTGGAAACTACTGAGCAGAAAGAGTAAATGTAGGATGAACAACAGTGTGTGAGTTCAAAACTCCATCCTGATTTCCTTGTAATTTTGCAGATAATTCCCAAGAGTCTTATGACTATTTTGCTTATGTAATTTTTTTTTTCCAAGACGGAATCTTGCTCTGTAGCCCAGAGCTGGAGTGCAATAGTGCAACCTTGGCTCACTGCAAGCTCCGCCTTTAGGGTTTAAGTGATTGTCCTGCCTCAGCCTCCCAAGTAGCTGGGATTACAGGCACACACCACCATGCCCAGCTAATTTTTGTATTTTTAGTAGAGACAGGGCTCCACCACGTTGGCCAGGCTGGTCTGGAACTCCTGAGCTCAAATGATCTGCCTGCCTCGGCCTCCCAAAATGCTGGGATTACAGGCGTGAGCCATTGCACCCGGCCGCTTATGTGATTTTTATCAGGCCTGAGATCATCTCTTATATAGACAGAGGGATTATGTAGTTATAGACAGTACCTCAGAAGTCTGATGTCTGTGATCAGTTTGTCTTTTGAAATCTTGCACACCAATGAGATGATTAAGTCCTGAATTAATATAAAACAAGCACGAGTTAATAACAACACCTTGGCCTGGCTACTCAGCAGACATGTCACATTGTGTGATGGCTAGCAGGGTCCCAGGTCACAGGGTTGTCCTCCCGGCCTTATCCTCCTAAGCCAACCTGCTCACTCTATTCTTCCCTTGGGGGTTGAACCTGCTGGCCTGGCTGGTCTCCCTCATCTTAGGTACACCCAGACACTCCGAGCCTCAGGGTTTAGGGTGTATCTCATCCCACTAAGCACTGCTCCTTGCAGTTCTTCCTCACAACTCTGCTCTGATTCATTTCTCAGCACTCACCGTTTTCCCGGTGACAGGGCGCTCACCATCCTTGGAGATGTTAACCCAGTAGCTGGCTTGGATTTGATTGGCTAGCTGGTGGGAGTAGGTTAGTTTGGTGATTCTTGCATCCAGATTATTTCTCTGTTGGAAAGAAGTTGTCATTTGGAGTGTGGTGAGGAAGGACTGCACAATGTTACAGATGAGACACTCGCATTGTTCAGATCGTTCATGCAAATATTATTGATTGTCTAGTGTAAGTTGGTCATCTGGGTGCTAGCGCAGCTGATGTGTCCATGACAGATAAGGTCTATTTCCAAACATTCACCTTGATGACGTTTCTTTCATTTGAAGGATGGTGGGTCATACAACATGTAAAATCTTACTTTTCTGTTACAGCTTGTCCAAGCTGAAGCCTGTCTCTCTCTATGCCCTTACGGGAAGAGACTTCTGCACTTGATCATTTTGGGACACTCTCTTAAAAAATTATACTTTGTTTCAAAGACAGCCTGGCACATAGAAGTCAATTATGATTGTTACTATTGCTACAACTCCCTCTGCCACTTCTAGGGCTGGTAGCAAATGAACACCTGCCATGTGTTTTTGCTCATTCTGTGACTTGTTGGCGCTTCCTTCCCTCACTCTGGTTATCTGTCAAATGGGGATAAGAAAACCTACATCTCAGTGCTGTTTTGAGGTTGAAATGAGGTTAGTTATATAAAGACACCTGGTTTTGTCCCTGGCACACAGATGGCACTTGGAACTCTTTTTTTTCCCCCAGAGACAAGGTCTCGCTCTGTCGCCCAGGCTTCAGTACAGTGGTGCGATCACAGCTCACTGCAGCCTCAACCTCCCCAGCTCAGGTGATCCTCCCGCCTCAGCCTCCTGAGTGCTGGGACTATAGATGTGCACCATCACACCTGGCTAAGTTTTTGTAGAGACAAGGTCTCACTGTATTGTCCAGACTGGTCTTGAACTCCTGGACTCAAGTGACTTGCCTGACTTGGTCTCCCAAAGCATGGGGATAACTGGCAAGAGCCACCTCACCCAGCTTCCGAACACATTTTTCCTCCCATGTCCCTGTTCCCTGCTTTCCACCAACATAAGCTAGGGCCCATTTATATGACAATGAAGGGAAAAGGTGCCTCCCATGGCAATTGTGTATTAACCTGGAAGAACATTCAGAATCCACTTTCACCCCCTCCTTATTGCTCTCAGAGGTTGACCGGCTGAGCTTGAGGACAGTGCTTATCCACGCTGGGCCCTGTGGGTGGCCCTTACCTGCACAGAGCTCTGCTTGGCGGTGTGAGTGATGATGGCCTTGAGCATCATATGGGATAGAATTAGAGAAATGCTGGCATTTTTAGTAACTGAAGAGAGAAAACTTCCAGGCACAGCAACTGCACCTTTGTTAAAGCAGGCTTCAGCCTAGAGTGAAGAAACAGACAATCTCTGTGATCACATGAAACCGACACCCATTTCAATGCCTTCGGAGGTCTGACTAGGGAGGTGACTAGTGAGGTGGCCCTGAAGGTATCGCCGTGGGAGGAGCCTGAGGGCACATGGCTGTTGACCTCCCCGACTCTGCTGTGGTGTGGACCATGGGGTGTGGTGGGGCTCTCAGTGTCCGGATGGCAGGCACCGGGTGAAGGGGGAGCTGCTGCTTGGCTCTGGCTGCCCGTGCCCCCTACAGCGCGGCTCAGGACACCCAGTCCTCTGACTTCCCAGGAGAAGCCACATTCATTATTTTTCAGGCAAATGGCCCCTGTTTAAGTGTTGCTCCCAGTAAGGTGTATGTGTGTATATGCACATCTGCACAATAGTCACTTTTTTTTTCCTTGAGCCAGAGTCTCACTCTGGTTTCCAGGCTGGAGTGCTGCCGTGCAGTCTCAGCTCACTGCAACCTCTGTCTCCTAGGCTCAAGTGATCCTCCCACTCCAGCCTCCCTAATAGCTGGGACTACAGGCACACGCTACCATGCCCAGCTAAGTTTTGGATTTTTTGTAGAGACAGGATATTGTCATGTTGCCCAGGCTGGTATCTAACTCCTGGGTTCAAGAGATCCACTCACCTTGGCCTCCCAAAGTGCTGGGGTTCAGGCTTGAGCCACCTTGCCTGGTCAACAGTCACATTCCTTACCTTCCTGTGCTTGCCCTATTGGTCTGGCATGCCCTCCTTCCTTCCCACATTCCAAAGCCCATCTTGTTTTTAATTTCCTTTCATGGATATTCTGGCCTTCATTGGTTAATAGGCATTTCCCCCTGCTTATGAAATGCAAACTCCACTTAGCAGGAAAGTTAGATGGTTCAGCAAAGTTTACTTTGCTGTTTAAAAACTAGCAATAGCCAGGCATGGTGGTGCACATCTGTAATCCCAGCACTTTAAGAGGCTGAGGCAGGCGGATCATTTGAGGTCAGGAGTTTGAGACTAGCCTGACCAACGTGGTGAAACCCAGTTTCTGCTAAAAATACAAAAAAAATTAGCCAGGTATGGTAGCTCATGCCTGTAGTCCAAGCTACTTGGGAGGCTGAGGCAGAAAAATTGTTTGAACTCAGGTGGTGGAGTTTGCAGTGAGCCGAGATTGCGCCACTGCACTCTAGCCTGGGCGACAGAGTAAGACTCTGTCTCAAAATAAAATAAAACTAACAATAGCTGGGCGCAGTGGCTCACACCTGTAATCCCAGCACTTTGGGAGGCCTAGGCAGGAGGATCACTTGAGCCCAGGCGTTTGAGACCAGCCTGAACGACATAGAAAGACCTGGTCTCTATCAAAAAATTCAAAACATTAAAAGTTAGCTGAGCACCTTGGCTCACATCTGTGGTCCCAGCTACTTGAGAAACTGAGGTGGGAGGATCACTTGAACCTAGTAGATCCAGGCTGCAGTGAGCCGTGATTGTGCCTCTGCACTCCAGCCTGGGTGAGAGATGAGATCCTGTCTCAAAAACAAAACAAAAAAACCAATAACAATTTCACAAGCATTTCTGTAAACCATCACAAATGCTGTCAGCGTGTCTAATGATCTTGTACTTGGTTTAATAATTCGCTTTTTGTTTCAGGTTTTTTTGTTTTTTAAATTCCCATCATGAATAACTCTATGTCGTTGTGCTTAAATGTATCTGGGCTTAGGTTTTTTTGGACAGATTCTTGGAAGTGAAGCTACCTGAGTCCAAAACCTTGCCTTTTTCAGCACTTCTCATAACCCGGTTTTGCCTTCCCGGTGGCTTAGAGGGGTGGGTGCGGTGAGTGGGTTCTGTCATTTCTTATGTATTGTCCTTTGGGTATCTAGATCTGTGCTGGGCTGACCCTGACGGCCAATAAATGGTTGTCATTGTGGGAATGGCCTCAGTATCGTACACTGGACTTCAGTGGAAGAGAACACCTGGTCGGCCCTGGAGGAGGCACTCAGGTGCGATGGCAGAAGCCTGGAGATTCACCCCAGGGTAAGGATGCAGGCTGGTTTGTGACATCTTTAAAATATATATTGTGAGTTTAGGGGTTTCTCTGCTTCTATCTATTGATAAAAGCCATATAAGGGCAGGGCGCACTTACACAGTAGAAGGTTGAAAGACCTTGGGGGGACATTCTGGAACTTTTGAAGGAGTATGTGAACAAGCCCATAGCTGCAGGAGAGAAGAGAAAGCGACATGGAGATGCCACAGCACAGCGCTGACAGCTGGTACACCCTCAGCCCTCTGCCCAGTACTGCCTTCCCCAGGGGGCCAGTCTGGACTCCTCCCAGTCCCTGGATCCCAGGCAGAAAGTGGCTGCCTCTCCTGGATTCTCATGCATGCGGAAGGAGGCCATGGGGAGTGGGGGGAGCTGACAAGAGGGCTTGGCTCTGTTCCTGATAAGCCCCTAACTCCAAGGGAGGAAAAGGCTCACTGGCTGGGCCCCGTGTCTCCTCTACTCTGGAACTTGTCAAATGTGATTGATTCCCTGCCTCAGCTCTCTTGGTGGCTGCCAACCTCCCACGTCCTGTTATCCCTGTCTCTTTGCATGTCTGGGGACATTGAGGGATTTCTGATTCTCAGCCTCCCAGGGTGAAGGCCTGGGACTTTCCTCCCGAGATTCCGTGCCTGTGTGTGCCGGGCAGATTATTTGGGACTGGCAAGCTACAGCGGGGACTGCCAGGGGCTTTGTCCTGTTCCTTTCCTGGGGACTAAGTCAAAGTGAGACTGAGACTTAGGTAAGCTGGGGTATCTTGTGGCCAGAAGGTACTGGGGTGAGGTTGTTTGGGTGCTGGGGCAAGGGTGTCAGCGTGCTGGGGTGACGGTGTCTGGGTGCTGGGAGGCGTGTGGTGCTGTATCCCACAGCCCCTTCCTCTCTGATCTGTCTCCTGGTAGGATCCCTTAAGGACCCTTGGTCATCTCTTGCCGTCGGCCTGGGCAGCCGACGGGTTGCGTGTTTGCACTCACAGTTCTTGCATTCGCTGATGTCACTGAGAACAATGTCACAGGAGCGTGGTTCTTCCATCTGTGAAGTCACCGCTGGTTAGCTTTGCCAAGGAAGCACCATCAGCCCGCCCTCCTTCTCTCCCCACAGTGTCTTCTTTTTCTCCCCTGTTCTCCTCCCCTTCTTTTTTTTTTGAGACAGAGTGCAGTGGCACAATCTTGGCTCACTGCAGCCCCTGCCTCTTGGGTTCCAGTGATTCTCCTGCCTAGCCTCTTGGGGAGCTGGGATTACAAACATGTGCCAGGACACCCAGCTAATTTTTGTATTTTTAGTAGAGACAAGGTTTCACCATGTTGGCCAGGCTGGTCTGGAACTCCTGACCTTAGGTGATCCACCCGCCTCAGCCTCCCAAAGTGCTGGGATTATAGGCATGAGCCACTGCACCCGGCCCTCTCCTTCCCTTCTTTCTGTCCTGTTTCCTGGGCCTCCTATTTGGCAGAAGTCATCCCTCCCTCCCACCAGCCCAAGGCATTGTCAGTGCTTCTGGTGGGCTTTTTCGAGCTGGAGGGGCTGCTGATCCCCAAGTCTCGCGGATCCCAAGGGCCCGACACCTCGTTCCTGAGTATCTCCTGGCATCAGGCAAATCTGAGGGAAGGGACCCCTTTGTCTTCCCCAGTGATGTAGCCCTCCAAGGGGTGCCCTCCCCTTTCCCAGGACTTACATTTTTACTTATTTTTACTGTCAACAGTTGAAGAACAACATCATCCAAGGGTAAAGGGAGAGACAAAGGCAAAATATCCGTGACCCTGGGAAAGAGGCATGAGGAGAACCATGGGATTTTGTGTTTCTGGATTTGCCCAAACGGTGACGAACCTGCCCATTGACGAAACAGGGGAAATGCTATTGCGCAGCTTAATCAGTGCACACACCTGAGCCCTTCACCGTCCGTTTCAGTCGTTAAGGAAGATGCAAGGACACCTGGCAAAACGACCAAAGCACATGACGTCTGGCCCCACAATCCCACCTAGGGGAGTTCATCCTTCAGACGCTCATGCCTAGTGGGGACAGACTTGTCTGTGACCTTATTCATGGTAGTTGGGTATAAACATTGGGTATAAAGGTCAATAATTGGAAACAATGAAGTGTTCTTTGATAAGGGATTAAATTATGATGCATCTTCATTAAGAAATGTTAGAGAGTCATAAAAAGCGAAGAAGCTGTTTATCTACACATAGATTCTTAGCAATTTTTTTCTTTTTCTTTTTTTTTTGAGAAGTCTCACTCTGTCTCCCAGGCAGGAGTGCAATGGCATGATCTTGGCTCACTGCAACCTTTGCCTCCTGGGTTCAAGAGATCTCCTGCCTCAGCCTCCCTTTTTTATTTCTTTTTCTTAAAAGACTAGTCAAGTACAATAGTGAGAAGAGGGTAGAGAGTAGAACAAGAAGATGAGTCTGTAATTGACTGTGAATAGTCAATTGAGATAACTCGAAAACTTTGCATCAGCTCCTAGCAATTTTTTTCTATGAGACAAAGCCTGGGCAAGTGTATATTACGTGTGCACCCTTCTGTGTGTTTATAGATACGTGCAAATTTACTCACATGGCAACACAGCATTTCTGAAAGCAAACATAAGAGACTGGGCCTGTTGGTTGCTTCCAGGGAGGAAAATTAGCCAGCTGGCATTCAGAGGTGGGAGAGAGACTTTTCATTCTCTGCCCTTTTGCATCTTTTGCATATCAATCTAGATGAATGTCATGCTCATGCCAAAAATAGAACGAGTTACTACCTGTGCAGTTAGCAGGCGGTAGGCAGGGAGTGTGAGAAAAGACTGTTCTGAAACATAATGGGCCGTTTCTCAGCAGAGACCCCTCTCTGGGCCTCTGTTTACTCATCCTTTAAGGCACTGCATTGGACAAGCTTATGAGTAAGGGTGCTGGCAGGGGGTGTGCTGGCACATAGGTCGGGGGATCCAGAAGATGACAAAAATGGTCTCACGTACGTCTGTATTAGTTGAAGAGTCACTTTGTTGACCTCGAAGGCTTTTTCCTGGACCTGGAGTTTGACACAGTGGGTGTCATTTGTGGAAAGGCCAATCTTCAGAGCCACGTCCCCATGCACGTTAAATCCCACCAGGCTGAGGACAGGTCCCAAGAGGCTGTGGAGAGGAAGACACAGGTGAAGCCAGGCTGGCTCCAAGGTGGTGCTCAGGCCCAGCGGTAGGCATGGTAGGAATCGACTCCATGTGTTTGTCAAGGTTCATTCAGGAGGGGAGATGTTCGGTGCTTTCCAGCAGACGTGCCCCAAGGCTGGATGTCCCCTGTTCACTGGGTAGAGAGCCTGGCTCACAGGTGGCAGGCAATAAACATCTGGCAAAGTCATGCTCCTAACTAGCCCTAAGGAGGTCATCTGCTCTTGGCACGGGGCTGGGTTGTAATGAGATGTCCAGTACAGGCTCACTGTTGTGTGAACCTTTCAGCCATGTGAGCAACAGTATAAGAAAAACCCATCATAGACCAGAGCTGATCTTATGAACAAGGGACTTTCTAGACAGTACAAATGACTCTTTCTGCCCCTGCTATCTGTAGCGGTCACAGTGTGAGCTCTGAAGGCTGACCGCCTGGTCTAAACCCTGTTGGTGCCATCTTTTTGCTGTGATTTCGAGTAAGGTTTGTAACCGCCTTTGCTAGTCTGCATGGGTATTCTCGTCTGGAAACAGGACTGCTTCTCTGGGAAGGTTGTGGAGAGGCTCCAAGGAGTTTGTGGACAATTAGGTGCCTGGGGGACACGGAGCCAGTGAGAGGTATCAGTGCTGGGTGTCTTAGTCCCCAAAGCCATCCTGTCTCCAGGGGAGATGTCTTTTCCCTCTTATGTCTTCACATGTGCCCTGAGCCTACACTGTTAACATGTTCCTCCTCCGTGAGTTGATACTGAGGATGGGGACTGTTTTTAATCCGGTCTTTTTCCCAGCACAGCATCTGTCCCAGAGCAGTGTTTCTTACCCATATGTCAGATGGGTGGGTGGGTGGATGGATGGATGGATGGATGGATGGGTGGATGGATGGGTGGATGGATGGATGGATGGATGGATGGGTGGGTGGATGGATGGATGGATGGGTGGGTGGATGGATGGATGGGTGGATGGATGGATGGATGGATGGATGGGTGGATGGATGGGTGGATGGATGGGTGGATGGATGGATGGATGGGTGGGTGGGTGGGTGGATGGATGGATGGGTGGATGGGTGGATGGGTGGATGGATGGATGGATGGATGGGTGGATGGATGGATGGATGGATGGATGGGTGGATGGATGGATGGATGGATGGGTGGATGGATGGATGGATGGATGGATGGGCGGATGGATGGATGGATGGATGGATGGGTGGATGGATGGATGGATGGATGGGTGGATGGATGGATGGATGGGTGGGTGGGTGGGTGGATGGATGGATGGATGGATGGGTGGATGGATGGATGGATGGATGGATGGGTGGATGGATGGATGGATGGGTGGGTGGATGGATGGATGGATGGGTGGATGGGTGGATGGATGGATGGGTGGATGGATGGATGGATGGATGGATGGGTGGATGGGTGGGTGGATGGATGGATGGATGGATGGATGGATGGGTGGATGGGTGGATGGATGGTTGTGTGCATGTTGACATGTGTGACTTGCCAAGGACTTTTTTTCCCCCCAGGCTGGGGTTCTAGGATGCAGTCTCGGCTCACTGTAAGCTACGCTTCCTGGGTTCTAGCGATTCTTCTGCCTCAGCCTCCTGAGGAACTGGAATTTCAGGCACATACCACCATGCCCAGCTAATTTTTGCATTTTTAGTAGAGATGGGGTTTCACCATGTTGGTCAGGCTGGTCTCAAGCTCTTGACCTTGTCATCTGCCCACCTCAGCCTCCCAGAGTACTGGGAATTCAGGCATGAGCCACCGCACCCTGCCAGCCAAGTGCATTCTAATCATCTCCATTTCCCCAGCTGACGAGGTTGGTGCTGATTCCCCATGGAGAGTCCAGAGGATTTGGAAAGTATGTGTAGTTTAAGAGCAGGGCAGGCATCACCATGAGATGTGTTCCCTTTGGTTTCCCTCCTCACCTTCCAAGTATGAACTGGTGCCCATTTCCCATAAACACCTTTGCTCACATGATTGGAGGATGAGGCTCCCGGGCCCATTCTCTTTTCTTGCCCGTCTGCACGGGGGCAGAGGGGCGGCTGTGTGCAGTACCTGCTTTGCCCCACCCTCACCCATGCTGCTGTCCTCTCTGTTGTCTCTACCTGGCCTTTGCTCACTGGAGCTTGCAACACTGGGGCAGAGTGACCCAGCGGACGGCTGTGGGCACAGACTCACCCGTTTCCGCCTATGAAGATGGTAGTCGTGGCTTGGACGTGGATCCCGTCAGCTGTCATGGTTGACTTCATGCTCTCCACAGTCACTTTTTCAACCTGTAATCTGCAAAGCAAAAGCATCAAGAGGCAGTCCTGTTTCAAGGAATCAGCCTGGACAGCAGGAGAAATGCCTCTGAAGCAGACAATGAACAGCCTACCAAGCCACCATCCAGTCCCTTGACCCCTCAGCCCTCTTATCTGCCCAGGCCTATAAGCTCAATAATCTTGCTCCTGTTTCCCCCTGAAAGGGTGCAGGCACAGCATAGAGCAAGACTATTTCTTGGTGAAATATGCCAATACCAAGTAATATACCCATCCCAATCTATGGGACCAATGGAAGTTGAACATGAGAATCCAAATCAGCAGGTTTTCTGGTGGAGAAGCCACAGGTCAAGGAAGCACTTACCCCAGCAAGAGCTGTTCCAGGTCAGCATTTTTCAGGAGGTCTGAGAGTCCACTGCTGATGCCCGACAGCAGGGTGCTGTTCAGCACACCCTGAGCAGACTCTGTGAGGTCTCCAACTTTGTCAGTTACATCATTCAGAGGCTGCTGGAGAGCAGAGAGACCAGTGCCATCAAGCAGTCCTTTTACGAGGTTCTTGTCTGAACCAGTGGATAGTAGGCTCCCCAGACCCTCCGTCCTCTGGGTTAGCAAACCGCTGACAGCACCAGTGACTTCTGGGAGCAATGGGAGGTTCGAGGACTTGCCACCATTTCCTTCGCCTAGGAGGCCACCGAGGCTGCCACCTCCAAGTATATCAAGGGATGAAGTGAGGTCTAATAGAGACAGCAGGTCCAAATCGCTCACTGCGGATAACACGGTCCCAAGCAAACCAGCCAAGTCAACCTTCTTACACTTCAGCATCTTCTCAATCTGCGGGGGCAAGGTGGCGTTCATATCTGAAAAGTATAAAGAGACGCATTGTTGCTGTGGCCTTCCCAGTTGGTTCAGCAGGAAGAAGCTTCCCTGCCGGGCAACAGCACCTTTGACTGGAGGGGCCCATAGAAACTGTATATGGTGCCTGGTGCCTCCTGTAAGAAACAGTCCTTGCTGCTCCTACTCTAGGGACAGCCTGGTGTCAGAGAAAGTTGCCTGTGCCCTTGTTAAGAGCTACTGTTTATTAGCAACTGCTATGAGATCAGCCTTCTGTTGAGTACATCTAAAGGGATTTGGACATGGAGTGAAGGGTCCTTGTGCCACTGCGCTCCAGCCTGGGCAACAGAGCAAGATCCTGTCTCAACACAAACAAAAACAAAACAAAAAGGACAGGGTGCGGTGGCTCACGCCTGTAATCCCAGCACTTTGGGAGGCTGAGGCAGGCAGATTGCCTGAGGTGAGGGGTTTGAGACCAGCCTGACCAACGTGGTGAAACCCCATTTCTATTAAAAATGCAAAAAATTAGCCAGGTGTGGTGGCACATGCCTGTAATCCCAGCTACTTGGGAGGCTGAGGCAGGAGAATTGCTTGAACCCAGGAGACAGAGGTTGCAGGGTGCCAAGATTGTGCCATTGCACTCCAGCCTGGGCAACAAGAGCAAAACTCCATCTCAAAAACGAAACAAAGCAAAACAAAATTAATAATCATTATCTCCAAATCACTGTGTGATGGGTACACAGCTGTCTTTTTTTTTTTTTTAAAACCATGTCTGGCCTTTTTTGTACATATTTGAAGTCTTTTGTACCAAGGAAGTCTGCTGGAAGAGCAAAGCATAGCTTCTTCCTGAGTCATAGCAGTCCACATTGGAGCTGTGGGGTTGGCCCTGTGGTCACTCAGCATGTGCCAGGCCTCCCTGTGTGGCCCTGTCTCCTCATCCCGGATGGCTGAGGTGGGCCATGGCTGCGAGGCTGCCGTTGGAGCACCAAGAGCCTTCCTGCTGGCTGTCATTCGCTAGTAAATCTGTGCTCCTTCTGGCTTCTCCATGGGAGTCACTTCTTGGCCTAGCCTTAAATTCCGGAGTTGCTCTGCCCTCAACCTCTGCGGGGTTCTTAGAGGGGCATCTGCCCTATCCTCATTGCCTCATGCAGGGAGTGAGACTCAGGGAGTGAATGAACAAAGGGAGTTTGGAGAAAGCAAGTCTGGTCAAGGGGATGATGGTGTGACCCAGATTTCCCATTTCCTGGCTCCTCAAAGTAGGCTGAGGTTTCAGCACCCATGGGAGTCTGGGTAAGCCCTGGGGCCCAGCAGGGAGGGGCTGGGCGGTGTCTCTGCACAGTCTCCAGGTGAGAAGAGGCACATGATTTGGGGATACTCAGACAGTCTGCCAGGGTTGTGTAGACCAGCCCTAGCCTACACGTGGACCTTGAACAAGCAGCCTCAGCGCCATCTTGGAGCAAATGAGGAAGCTGGACTCTCAGGCTCACTGCACTAGTGCCTGACCAGAATGGCCAGGGGGACCTGGGCATCTGTGCTGTCACAAGCTCCTAAAGTGAGTCCAATGCCCCCTCATGTTCGGGACCTGCTTGTTCAGAAGGCGGAAACCCCCTGAGCTTAGGAATGAGAAGCCTGTGTGAGCGGTTGAAAGGACCAAGGAAGGGTGTGTGGGGGAACAGTCCTTACTTACGGTCTTCAAGTTTGCTGTCAGATATGAAGTACTTGGCAATGGGTAGACACCTGCTTCCTTTGGTCCTCGCTGGGTATTTTCTGGGCAGAGGGACTTTTGGGACTTGCAGACCTCCAGGGGGTGATCCAGGTGGAAGAGGGACGGGTAATCCAGGTGGAATAGGGATGGGTAATCCAGGTAGAAGAGAGACGGGCAAATTGGGTATTATGGGAGGACTAGCTGGGAGATTCAGCTGGCCAAGTGCTTCTTCCTGGATGGCCAAGATGACAGCCAGGACCCAGAGAGTCAGCATCTTGGTGGCTGATACCTGCAAAGGAAGGCTTCTTCAGATACCACATTCCCCATGGACCATTGGGCTGCCATGGAGGTTTGTGTAGGATGTCCACATACTAGAGTCCTCGTCCTTGTGGGAGGGTGCCATTCACATCTTAGGTATTCTAGTCTGTATGCTGCAGTCATGGAAAAATGTTGCTGTATGTGGCTGTCAACGTCTTGAAGAAAGGGCTTTTTCTCTGTCTTTTCAACCGTGCATAAACCTACTCTCCAGGCTGGTCCCTGCTCACTGGTGTTACCTTCAGGTCACACATTCTCATGCCACCTTCCTCTGTCACAGGCGGCATCTGAGTCACCTGCTGGGGAACTGGAGAGTTCCAAGTCCTGCAGCTGCACTCTCAGGCCTATGTCTCGTCACTGGGGCGTGTGGTCATGTGTCTTTTCTTTTTTTTTTTTTTTTGAGACGAAGTTTCGCTCTTGTTACCCAGGCTGGAGTGCAATGGCGCGATCTCGGCTCACCGCAACCTCCGCCTCCTGGGTTCAGGCAATTCTCCTGCCTCAGCCTCCTGAGTAGCTGGGATTACAGGCACGCACCACCGTGCCCAGCTAATTTTTTGTATTTTTAGTAGAGACGGGGTTTCACCATGTTGACCAGGATGGTCTCGATCTGTTGACCTCGTGATCCACCCGCCTCGGCCTCCCAAAGTGCTGGGATTACAGGCTTGAGCCATGGCACCCGGCCTGGTCATGTGTCTTATGCGTCTGCTCACTCTGAGGATTCCGAGCCTCAGCAAGGAGGCAGAGAGCTGGGTCCACACTAAATTAGGAGACCCCTGTTGGAGTCTGAGCTGTTCTGGGTGCCTTTCAAAGACTGATTCTCACCTTCGACCCTCACTTTCCTCCAAAACTGATTCCCAAGCTTTTCCCTCTAATATTTATGGCGAGGTGGAGGTTTGTGTCCTCTGGCATTTTGCCTCTGTGAGGAAGGTGAGCTTTTTTGTAAAATTGAGTTGTGGATCTTTTTTTTTTGTTTGGTTTTTGAGACTGAGTCTTGCTCTGTCACCCAGGCTGGAGTGCAGTGGCATGATCTCAGCCTCCAAGTTTTAAGCAATTCACCTCAGCTTCCCAAGTTGCTGGGATTATAGGTTTGTGCCAGCACGCCCAGATAATTTTCTGTATTTTTAGTAGAGATGGGGTTTCACCATCTTGGCCAGGCTGGTCTTGAATTCCTGACCTTATGATCTACCTGCCTTGGTCTCCCAGAGTGCTGGGATTATAGGTTTGAGCCACTGCACCCGGCCTGTTTTGTTTGTTTGTTTTTTTTAGATAAGGTCTCGCTCTGTTGCCCAGGCTGGAGTGCGGTGGGACAGTCTTGGCTCACTGCAGCCTCTATCTCCCAGGCTCAAGCAATTCTCATGTCGCAGCCTCCCGAGTAGCTGGAATTACAGGTGTGTGCCACCATACCCAGCTAATTTTTGTATTTTAGTAGAGATGAAGTTTCACTGTGTTGGCCAGACTGGTCTCAGACTCTTGACCTCAGGAGATCTGCTCACCTCTGCCTCCCAAAGTGCTGGGATTACAGGTGTGAGCCACCATGCCAGGCTGGGTTGTAGATCTTTGCCCCTGCCATGTATAGGTATTAACAAAAGCAAGCTTTTTGCCATTTGCCAACACCCTAAAAATGTGTCTATTCCAGCCTGGACAATAGGACTAGACCCTGTCTCTATAAAAAAAAAAAAAAACTAGCTGGGAGTGGTGGTTCACACCTGTAATCCCAGCTACTGGGAGGGCAGAGGTGGGATGATCTGTTGAGCCCAGGAAGTTGAGGCTGCAGTGAGCCAAGTTCACACCACTGAACTCCAGCCTGGACAACAGATTAAGACTCTATCTTTAAAAAAGAAGAGCAACTATGGCAGGAATGTGGTGAAGGGCACAATCTGAATGAAGCCAGTGAGAATTCTTCAGTTTGAATTGATTAGGCCTTATGAAGAAAATCTCAACACAGCTTCATTAATTTTTAAAATTTTACTCTCGTCTGCAAGAAATGTAACCTCAGTATCTCACATGACATCTAAGCATAATTTCACAGAAAAAAAATCTTATGCCCGTGACTGAGTTGATGGCAATATTGTCAGACTTGAGTGAAACCTTTTGAGAACCTCAGGACTACATTTCTCATTCTCCGAAAAGCAGTGCATAACAGGCAATGGCCAACCACCTTCCCTGTGCTAGGCAGAGTGCATGTCAGCAGGGGAGGGACGTTGCTAAAGCAGTTAAAAATGCGTAAGCCCTCGTTACCGGTCCTGAGATGGACTGTGCGTTGCTTGTTCCCACCCACGAGTTGGAACTTCTCTTTCGCCTGTTCCATGCGGCAAGTTCTTACCTTGCCTGGGGTGGATGGACCCAAGTTTTCAGAAGCCGCCTTTCCTCCTGCTCCTGCCTCCAGACTGTTGATGACAGAGCTGCGTCCCAATTTTATAGACCAATGTATGTCTGCAAAGTCATTAGACAAGAAGGGAAATGATCCAAGCGTGCTGATAAGGGCGGCGTGATTCAGGCTACCTTCCAAGATCAGCCCCTTCTCATCACCGCACCATTGTCCTGCCTTCCTGAAAGATGTTCAGAGTGCTTGGAGCTTTTTGTGAAGGGGGTAGGCAGGCCAGGTGTCTGTCTCTTAGAGGTAGGTTAGATAGCATAGCTTCTCAAAAATAGACTTATCAAATCTATGGCAAGAACAAGCTGCTTGGCATTCCATGAACCACATCCGGCACTTGTGGTTCAAGACATCCTGTAGCAGAGAGGAGCAAGAGCCTAAGGAAAAATCCCCAAGTCTGCGCAGGCATGGAACCCTGTAACTGATGTCCTCAAACTGACCTAGGCTCTTTTTGATGCTAAAAAAATCCTAATTTAGCTACACCCATGGGTAGAGATTTAAGATTCTAATGAGACATGCAATGTGTGTACTAGCGCATATAACCACTGCATCTGCAGGCCTAAGAATCCACCCACAACATGCTGAGCAGCAGCCCCTCTTTCTTGCCCCTTGATGAATAACCACGCAAAACTCCCATAAAGGAATATCCCTTGCATCAGAAGGGGCTGTCTCACTTCTGATGAGCTGTCAGAGGGTTCTTTTGCTTTGTAATAAACTCTTTTTGGCGGGGGGGATGAAGTCTTGCTCTGTTGTCAAGCTGGAGTGCAGTGGCGTGATCTTGGCTCACTGCAACCTCTGGCTCCTGGGTTCAAGCGATTCTCCTGCCTCAGCCTCCTGAGTAGCTGAAACTACAGGCACACGCCACCACACCTAGCTAATTTTTGTATTTTTAGTAGAGATGGAGTTTCACTGTGTTGGTCAGGCTGGTCTCAAACTCCTGACCTCAGGTGATACACCTGCCTCAGCCTCCCAAAGTGCTGGGAAATGAAATGGGAAGTTGTCAGGGTTCCAGGCATGTGCGAAACACATGCATTCTTTTAGCAAACAGCCCCTGCACTTTCTCCCTGCCAGGTAATGTGGCAAGTGCCGGGCAGGGAGAAATTTATATTTAAGAAATTCAGCCACACTGTGCCCTCCCTCATGGAGTTCACCCATTAGTGGGAGACACTGATAACAGGACAATTCTTTTTTTTTTTTTTGAGACAAAGTCTTGCTCTGTCTCCCAGGCTGCAGTGCAGTGGTATGATCTTGGCTCACTGCAACCTCTGCCTCCTGGGTTCAAACAATCCTCCCACCTCCTGACTAGCTGGGACTATGGGCATGTGGCACCACATCTGGCTAATTTTTAAATTTTTGGTAGAGACAGGGTTTTGCTATGTTGCTCAGGCTGGTCTTGAACTCCTGGACTCAAGGAATCCACCTGCCTTGGCTTCCAAAGTGCTGGGATTACAGATGTGAGCCTCTGCACCCGGCCCAACAATTCTTGATAATGATACATGTGTGAAGAAAGACAAACAAAGATGATGGAGAGAGGGATGACATCCCTTTGAACCCACACCTCTGTGCTGAGTGATATCTTATCCCAGATATGGGTGACACGGCGGATAGAGCCAGGCAACGACCTGGGCAATGAGTAATGGATGCAGGGCGGTTAGAAAGTATTAAAAACCTGAGTGGGCATGAGCTTGAGTAGTTCGAGGGGTGAGAGCGTGGCTGAAGGTGAAGGAGACAGTAGAGAGTTGGGAAGGAAGCTGTTGACCCACAGATGTTACCAGCTGGGGACCTGCCCTGCTCTGAACACCTTCCGGGTAAAATCATCAGTAGGAGCTCGCTTTCAGCTGCCTGTAACCAGTTGCATCCTGAGTGATTCACTGTGGTAGAGTTTGGATTTTGTTTTCAGGGTGATTGGAGGGTGGAGGGGGTTAAGCTTGGGAGTCACATAACTGGGTCAGCTCCTTTGCTTCCCGTGCTTGCCCCTGGAATGAGACTTTGAATGATGTCACTAGGTTGCTGAAGCTCTGATTTATATTTAAGAAATTCAGCGGGGAGCAATGGCTCACACCTGTAATCCCAGCACTTTGGGAGGCCAAGTCAGGTGGATTGCTTGAGTCATGAATGCAAGACCAGCCTGGACAGCATGGCGAAACCCCATCTCTACAAAAATACAAAAAAATTATCCAAGCGTGTGGCACTTGCCTGTGGTTCCAGCTACTCAGGAGGCTGAGGTTGGAGGATTGCTTGAGCCCAGGAGGTTGAGGCTGCAGTGAGCCTTGACTGCACCACTGTACTCCAGCATGGGCAACAGGGCAAGACCTTATCTCAAAAAAAAAAAAATATTCTAGTCTCTGGGCAGGGCTTCTTCTTACCTGTTATCTCATTGAATGGCTTCCCAAATTCTAGAGCCTGTTCTTTTGGCCTGAGGCTTTCCCTGTATAGCAGGAGAAGGCTGCTCGGTTCCTACCACTTGAAGATTTGTGATTTTGTTTTGTGCATCCTCTCGTGCTGTTTGGTGTAACCACGGCTTACAAAGCGAGAGTGCAGGCGAGGACGCTGATTTTGCCTCAGGGGGTCAGGCTGGGCATTGGGCTGGGGTCCTGCCTCAAAGCAGGCTCCGCCCATGTGCTGCCTCGCTCTCCCTAGGTGGCAGGACCTCCCCAGCTCCTCTGTGGTTCTCATGCCGTGAACCCCAGCTACGGTTTCATTTGCTGAAGACCCCATTTTGGACATTGCTAAACAGACAGTGCATAGACCTTTGCATCAGATACGTAGACCTTTGCATCAAATGTCAGTTGACCTTTTCTCAGAGGGCAGAACTTAGAGTTTTACTCATGATGATAAATAGGAGACAAAACTCAACCGTCTTAGGTCTTATTTTTTTTGGACATTTGAGGGAAATTGAATCATCTTGGAGATGAAATTCATGCCGCCCATTGGTGGATGTGGCCCTTGCGTTTGGTGCCTCACATGATTCTCTGAACCCAAACAATGAACCCAACTGCAGAGGTCGTGAAGGGGCACATCCGGGAGGCAGCCTCTGACGGGCCTTGGGGCCTCCTGATTCTTTGTCTTTCTCCTCTTCAACTTTAGGAGGTGGGGCAGCCATTGACTTCTGCTAATCCAGGGCCCCCATGGTGGATTATGTGATATGGGGTGGCTTATCAGCTGGGAACAAGGGCCAGCTTGTCCCTGAGCCCTACGTGATTTGACCTGCGGACTCTTTGAAGGGAAGTCCTTTTCAAGGCTAGCCAAAGCTTGGCTGCGATCACCATGGCCAGTGATAATTCTGCTGCCAACTCTTAATGGCCTCTGTGTGAGGAGATCACAATAGGCCAGGTTGAGCTGAGGGTGCCCTAGGAACAGAAACTTCAGGACTCTGACCTTTCCTAGGTGAGTCTTTAGTGACACACACACACCTGCGTACGTGTTAATGCTTTTATCTTTCTATGTGCCTGTCTGTGTCTGTCTGGGGCACTGGAACTCAGAGGTCATGGCTGGCATTCCCTGGCTCAATCTTCTGGTGGAATCAGTCTCAGATCTCTGCCAGTCACATGAGGTCACAGGGTCCTCTAGGCAGTTTGTGCCCCTGGACCCTCTGAAGTTGCATATAAAATTTGGTGTTAATGTTCAATTCTCAGAGATACATTTAATGAGATTCTTTTTTCTTTTTTTTTTTTTTTTGAGATAGGGTCTCGCTTTGCTGCCCAGGCTGGAGTGTAGTGGCACCATCATGGCTCACTGCAGCCTTGACCTCTTGGGCTCAAGCTATCCTCCCACCTCAGCTTCCTGAGTGGCTGAGACTACAGGTGCATATTACCATGCCCAGCTAGTTTTTTCCTGTTTTCTGTACAGATGGGATCTCACTATGTTGCCCAGACTGATTTCAAACTTCTGGGCTCAATGATATTCCCATGTTGCTCTGAGATTCTTGATGGGCCTTGTGATGTATAAATGGTGAAGAACCTGTGGTTTAGGAAAAGACAGTTTCTGGTGACAGGATTTGGGGCCAGACAGGCCTGGATGTGAATCCTGGTTCTGCTGCCTGCTTGCTGTGTGGCCTTGGGACATGATCTAATATTTTTGTCCCTTAGTTTCCTCATCTATTGTGGGTAGGAAGTGCTGAGGTAAGGGTCTGAAGCCTCAGCTCGTTCCCACATAAATAATGAAATAGAAAAGAGTTAGAAATATAATCACATAATTATTCATAAGCAATCATAGATATAGATACATATATATATATATATACACACTCAGTGCAACCTTTTAATTTTGCTAATGTTTCTCGGGTTGCCAAGTGTGAACCTGGGGTGACATTGTGAAAGGAATGGCCTTAAGGCAAGATGGAGAGGGGATGTGCCGTGGAAATCACACTAAAACTTGGGTCAGAAGGAGGTGGCCACAACCTACAAACTCCCGCTACTGAGCACTGGGCAAATGCTTCCCACTCTTAGGACAACCCATCTTCCTCCCCCTCCTCTTCCTCTTATTCCCCCATCTTCTTCCTCAGCAGCATCACCACTGTCCCCATTTAGACATGAAGAAACTGTGGCTCAGAGAAGTTAAGTTACTCCTCGATAAAAGTGGCAGGGCTGGGATTCAAATGCAGACATGTCTGGAGCAAAGCCTTATCCTGGGATATACCCCTTGCCTTCCTGATCCACTAGTCCATGAGATGCCTGAGGGCTGGGGCATGTCTCACTCACCTTGCGCTTCCCCGTCTCCACCTATCCTGCAGTCAATGTTGAAGGAATGCACAAATGAATGAATGAATGAATGACTGGGCCAGCTCCTCTGAGCCTCAGCTTCTCTGTCTGTCAAACAGGCTAACAACTCCCTGCCTGCTTCTCTTTGATGGTGCTTATGGGAATCAGAGAAGACAGTGGCCCTGAGTGTGTAAAGTGACAGCTGATGTGAGGCGGGGAGTTCCCTCCTCCACCTTCAGCCTTCCTTTCTCCTGTGTCCACTTCTCTTCAGAACAACACTGAGCAGAGATACGAGCTCCCT